TTTCTTTTCTTCCTCCTATATATTTATACTTGACAGATTTAATTAAAAATAAATAAAAGAAATATTTTTTTAGAATGTAAATGTAAATTAACAAAATCTCATCAATAAATTAATAACAATTAAAATAAATTAAGTGGAGAAATTTGAAGTAGGAAGAAATTTTCAAGTTTGCAATAATCCCAAACAATTCCATTCGGGACAAAAAAATTTCTCCCGTCTTAATAATATTGCAAAGTCACTGATTTGAAATATTAAAAATAAATAGTATTGAAAATGGAAATAAAGGTTATTAATAATGGTTACAGTTTTAACTTTTGAAAGGATTATATAATCTAAGCTCAATTTTAAAAGAATAAATATGAAATCCACTGATTTATAAATTGTATATATATATATATTTATTTATTTCACGCACATGAGGAATCGACCATTGACCTCTGTGACTCGGCAAGGCTATGACCAAGTCAGCGATGACAGGCTTACACCACGATAGGCTGCCATGCTGAAACACTGTTGGCCAAGTGACCATCTGCTGCTGACCTTCGCTGGCCCACCACTCAGAGAGAGAGAGAGAGAGAGAGAGAGAGATGTGAGCAGCTTCTGCGAAGGAGAAACGTTCAGGCGCGGTAAATGAGCACAGTGGGTGATTGCAGTCATGGGGAATAGGTGAAGTCGTCAGGAGCAGCGGGGAAAACAATGCATGCAGGAGGAGTCACTTCAAGAGGGGCCAGTCCCGCCAGTTCCTTTCCAGGACAGGACCGGTGACGCTTCCCCAAAGCATCAACTCCAAGAGTCTCTCTCTGTATCTCTCTCTTCTTTTGCCAGCGAAGAAAGAGGGGGAGAAGGAACGAAGAGAAAGAGGTCGGGAGTTGGACTGTGGACGAGATGATGGGATCATGATAGGGTAATCATTCCTTTATTATCTCGTGAGCTGCTTCCATCGGTGGGCTGGCTGTGGTTTTGGGACAAGAGAAAAAGGTCTCTTCTGATCGCGTTAAAGTCAGTTTCAGAAAGCAAAAAGTGAAAGATAGTAAAGAGAGTTCAAAAGTATTGAGAGAGAGAGAGAGAGTGAGTGAGTGTGTGTGTGTTGCAGAAAAGTAGAGATAGAGATGGGTGGGGAAGAAAGATGCTCGCTCTGGTATTATTACATCTGAAAAGAGCTCTTTTACCATTCATGATCCATCTGCTAAAAGGGAACAAGAAGAGGAGCTTAAACTTTCTCCTCGCCCGAGTAAACAATAGTTCCGGATTGTTCTTACACGGGACATGTATCGCATTCTCAGGGAAGCACAACAAGTAAGTAAGATCAAAAGCACATCAAGAAAAGCCTTCACCATTCTTCCAATGATTCCCTTCATTTCACGTTTAATGCCCTTTGGCTCGGTGCTACGGATAACTAAGGTGTTAAACTTGCTTTGCCTCGTCAGAGATGCAGCTCAGCTTGATGTCAAAGGTATAGCGATTCTCATCCTGCGGTCATGCTAATGATCTATTTCACTTTTGTGCTTTACGATCTAAATTTTCTGACACTTGGAGTTCCGACCCCATGTTGTTTGAGTCTGCCTGTGACAGGCTTTATGAATGCTGCTGCATGTACAAGTAAGTGTTACACCTTAATTAATCTCTTCATGTGTTGATGTGCTTACTGAGACTAAAAGTAAGTTACAAGAGTCAAGAAAAATTCACCCTCAAATAACAAAACATTGATACATTCCGATCACACAGGACTAGGCAACACCTTTTGTAAGTTACTGTTCACACACAATATAGAATGATAAAGGAGTCAGCTATATGACAAAACATTGTTGATTTTACATAAACTTGAACATCAAAAACACACTTGTATCGACATGATTGATTCTATGAGGATTTTCTTGTGATGACAATGGTTTGTTTCATGAGTCTCTGCAGGTACATTGCGAGATTTGCTCGAGGTACTCAAGCACATCCTAGGTTTAACATATATATATATAATGATCAATTCCATGGCTGTTCATATCATCTTTGCTTAGGCTTCCATCCAACAGAACGCTGTCTATATTTTTCAACAACACAATCTTAGTTTTGCTTACAAATATATGAATTCATACACTCACATGTCAACATAACACTATATATATATATTTATGGAACACCATCTTAGTTTTTTTGCTTACAGATATATGAATTCATACACACATTATTTTGTCTTGCCCTCTAATCAATTGTCTCCTTTACCTTTTTCTTTCTCTTTAACTGATACTTGCTGTAGCTGAACAAAGTCATCTTACGAAAGAAGTGGGTGGTGTCAATGATATCTGCCCAATGAGATCTCGAGATTTGGATCATTTGGGCATGATGAGTTAATTTCCGTAAACATTTCAGAGCTTATCGGTTGCGTCTCCTGCTGCAAAAAGAAAGACAAGGATCTGTCTTGTGTTCATAAAAATGGAGATACAAGTATCGAGATGTATATATTTTTCCTCACACGAAAATAAACAGTTTTAGGACACTTTAACGATGACAGATGTGGTAAAAAGTATTACGATATAAGATCGAGTGAAGGGATTGTTTTGGATACCTTCCAGGACCGCATGCAAGCTGTAGTGGAATCACTTAGTTTGCGATTATTATACAAGCTTTCCCTGATGCAAAAAGCTCAATCCGTCAGCAAATGAAACCATGGACTACTTACTACAAGCGTATGCTGATGGAGTTCCTTTTTTTGTCTGAGTTTTAAGACCAGTTTATTTTGGATAAAGTTAACATGATTGTATGAGTCATTAGTCCGAAAAAGAAGCTGCAAAGAAGTTTCAAAAAGCTAGCTTTTGCACACAAAATCTCAGACACAATGAATACGTGTCTCACTTTGGGAGCCTCGGAGATCCCAGAAATGTCCTTTTAGAACAGATTTTTCAGAAGAGATTGGGTCTACAACAACAAGGGGAGAGAATAAGCCTCTTTACTATTCTTTTGAGGGATCATAGAATGATTGATCATGGATGTCTAAATCCTTGACAGGATGGTAGTGGGAAGAGAGGAAAGGTTAACAATTAGTATCTACTCTCTGTCTGTGATCAGCAACATATGTTCGAGTGATTAGTAAGAAAGAAAAAAAAGACCATGGGGCTCAGATGAAGGTTAACGATTACCTAACAAGTAATCATTTTCATCCCAAAGACCATGCACCTACATTCTCTTGTTCTCATTGAAACCAAAAGAAAATGTAGGAGGAAGATCCCACAAAAGTGTTTTATGTTTCTGACATGGTACATCTAAACTTATGTCTTTTACCAAACCACAGATAGCTTGAACATCCAAAAGAAAGCACTGGTTTCTTGGAAGTCTGGCATCAAATTGTAGCTGCTTCAGTGTGGCAATACTTTAGATATAATAAGCCTAGAACATATTTCAGTAGGTCAGGACATCACATCATATTGTTTGATCTCTTGTTGTTAAGTAGGTTTTTCATTCTTCACATGCTTTCTTTTTTTGTTTGGCTCATTAACTTTTTTTGTTTCAAAGAAGAAAAATAAATAAACTTCTTTAGGGTATAGTTTTATGTAGGTATACAGATCCACAGCAAGCCACTTCAGATGGGGTTAAAACATTGATGTTTGTGCATTATCAAATCTTCCTGGAACATATACGTCCTTCCGTTTCATGCTTCTTCAGCTCAGCACTGATTAGGCTGAGCCATATATGGCAAATATGATCATCTGATGATCATTTAGAACAAGAAGATTTTGACAGTGCATAACCTAAATGCATCTATTGTACTTAGCAAAAGTGGATGATTGTTACCTTGAGGAATTGCTGCTCCATAGAGCACCATGATTGGCTCCATGATGCGCGGCTGATGATTCTGATCCATGGTGATTGTGAACGCCTACCAGGTTTTCTTCGGAATTCTCCTCGGCAGAACCATTTGCAAACCCATCTGATTGGCCTGGAACAAGCAGTCAAATCCACTGTAAAAGGAGACTAACTCGCAAGCCTTACAGGCAGGAAATGTGGGAAACGAATTCTTCTCTCAACCTGATGAAGCTGCCGGTCTATCGGTGTTCTTCACAGTCCGATACATCTACAATCATACAACACAGTTATCATATCCAAAAAGCATATATCATTTTGTTTTAAGCAGCATCTACTTGTACATAGACATAGATGAACTCCCCTATCCATTTAAAGATTTTTTGTAGCTGCAGGGTGGGAAAGATCTGAAATAACATGCACAACACTGTCCTTCATCTTTGCTTTCCCTAAAGCATGGTTGCAACTTATTAGAGTATTTTCCTGCACTGCTCTCGTCCCTTTTTATTACGGTGCAAAAGCTGCCGGAGAGAGAGAGAGAGAGAGAGAGAGAGAGAGAGAGAGAGA